TAATTTAAATAGTGGGGAAGACTGGGACCAGGTGACCTCTGTCCCTCAGTCTGCTGTCCGGTTACTGAATGTGGATGGCCATCTTCAAAGCCCCTGTTCTCCTTACTTGGGGTAACACCTTTATCTTTAAACTAGGCTTGGACCAGACAAAGAGAGGACTGTATAGCCACCCTATTTTCAGTGCATTTCCTATGCAAGTAACATAGCAAATCTACTGCAGAAATGTAAGAGGAGCCTTCATGACTCCAAATATTTTATAAATTTTACAGAGCTAAGAAAAATCAACAACTGGAGCTACAGAATCTCAGCTGCAATTGAGCCCTTTATTTTGTATGCTCAATGAAGCTGCATTTGCAAGTTGTTTTTAACTGTGATTATCACAACAGCACAAAGATTATTTCCACCAATATAATCTTAATACCACAAATATTGCTTGGTGCATAGTGAAAGGAGCTGAACTAGAGCCAATTTATTACTGCTTAAATATTTGAGATGTTCTACACTAAGCAGTCTGCAACTCTATTTTAACAGCCCTTCTATTTCTGGTTTACAGTTGTAATCTAGTAGTTGCATGCTTTCTTGGGTGTTTGCGGGCGATAATTTTAAAGTATTTGACATGGTGACTGTGACTCATAATCAGCTTGTGCTGTGCAGCAGCCGTGTTTATCACTGCAGTGCCCAAATGGTAGGAAATGGATGGGGGCAATACAATTCGTGCTTCCTTCTTGCGCTGGTGTGTTTTCCTCTCACTAAATGCTTGTTTTGTAAAAACACGGGTGAACTCTGTGTGAAGCAGCCCTGGAGATAACTTTTGGAAGCTGCAATTAGCAACTCTGGAAAACACTGATAGGGACCTTTGCAGCAGCCAGAGCAGAGTGCCAGCAACAAAGCAGTGTCTCTTTTTGTGAAGAGGAGGGTTAATAAAAGCTGCAGGCTCTTCCTGCTTACATGTAAACAAAGATAAACATGCATTTGTCTTACTCTGTTTTAGAACATGGTCAGGATTTGAATGTGGTCACCATTTCACATATTTATAAGGCTCTTCCTTCAGTACAAAGTGTCATACTTTAATAATAGCAACCTTCTTCCTGTCCTGTAGTCAGGCACTCAAGTGCTGTCAAGAGCTGGTTTCCCACAGCTGGAGGAAGGGAGTAGGAACCATGGGAGATTAAGGGCATATGCTGTTTAGTGGCACAGTGTGCCCTTCACCCAGCGGTGTAGCGTGGGTTGTCAGCACCCGGGGCAAGGCAAGTAATTTGCGCCCCTTAACCCGTGGATTTGCGACCCCTAACCCTCAGATGTTGCGCCCAGTGTGGCCGGCCCCCCCTGCACCCCCCACGCTATGCCACTGCCTTCACCCAAGATCCATGTGGCCGCTGGTAGTTATTTCAATTGATTCTTCCTGCAGTACTGGCTGATCTGCTAATGCAACTTGCGACTTGCAAGTAAGTGAGGCAGTTGTCCAGTGGTGGCACTGCACCCGTCCAGTGACTAGGCCCAGTACAGTCAACTGAAGCAGAGGCAGCAACTGGCTCACTGTGCTGCCAGTAGTCCAAAAGTGCATTGTCACTGGCTGCCTTCTCATTTTGTAGCAGATCTTGGAGCGTTCTATCAGGCAGTGGTGCGGGATTGGTTCTCCATTACCACCAGGACCCCAGGAAGTTTCGGGTCTGTGGTGTTAAGTCCTACTAAGGTACAATGCTCGAACAAGATGCCTCCTCATGTGTTGGAGGCCTGATACCCCCAATGTCTTCATGTGGGTCAACCCTACCCTCTCTGCTTGCTTGAATGTACTGTATGTAGAAGCCACCATGGGATCAGGGGCTCCGATTTAGTGGGAATCCTTACTCATGTCTCCCTCAGCCCTTCCTTGCTCAACATGAGAAGGTCTGGTACTGAGTGTCAGGGGACAGGAATCTTGGAGGCAGAGCCCTTGTATGCGCCCCCTATATGGATTGATATTTCCTGTTCAGGCAATAATGCTTGAACAGGGCTTTAGTGTTCTAGACTTAATGGCCTGAGAATGGCAGAGAAGGAAAAGCGAATTAGTGCCACATGATCTGTAGGGCTCCTGGCTTGGCTCCTAAAATGCTACAATGATTTCTCACACCCACAATGAGGTTCTGTGTAACATCTCCTTGTGCCAAAACAGATGGGTTTTGCTTAGCTCTCATTATGGAGGTGCGGAGACGTAACCTCTGATTCATACATTTGTGCCTCATGAAAAGTAAACTGTTACTGACCAAGCCTCATCTTATCAGAATTCTTTTGCTGTTGAGGTAAGGCAGCTCTGTCTGGACTAATATGTTCCTGGAAGACGGCTGCTATTTGGATCAGCTCCACCAGCCTCTCTTCCCTAATGTGACTGGCAATGCAGACAGCTAGCAGAGGCTGTGAAATCAAGAGTGTGGATAGATTGTATTTGTGGTGGAATGACTGCACGAAATAGCTGTCCAATGTGGCACTAAAAAATTAATCTGCAGTAAGGTTTCACAGCTCTAAAACTATTGAACTGTTTCCTAGAAGCTTTGGTAATGGAAGGATGTGGAGTAGCTTCCAGGTTATAAACAACATAGCATCAGATAGCTGCTTCAAAAGCTACTAGTCATATATGCTAGGACGGAAAGTACCAAAACATTGCATGACTCAAAGGCCAGACAGTGCTAAACATTCTTACTTCACTCTAGGGATATCCTCAAATAGTCCTCAGACTTTTTCTCCATTGTAGCCAAAGCTAAGAATGAGGGTGAACTTTACGGTGTGTGCGATTCAAAGAGTAATATATAAAACTCACAACTTGTTTATAGGCAGAACTTTCCACTACTCAGATTTGTACAAAAGATGATGTCAGGGAAATGCCAAGGTATTTTCTGAACATAGAACGATTCAGAGTTCTTAAGATACAAAGAGTTAAATTACACATTAAACTAATATGTAACAATAGCTTGGCAATATCTTCTCCAGAACCTTTAAAATGGACAGAGAACAGGAGTTCTTACCAGAGGTAGCAAATCAGGTGCCCCTCAGATATTGCTAGACAACTACTCCCATCATGTTTGCTAGGGCTGATGAGAGATGTAGCCCAACAACATCTGAACGGAACCACACTGGCTATCCCCCGCTGGTTTAAACCTTCTCCCAAAATGGATTCCATTATGGGCAGGTAGATACTATATCATGCCAACTAAGGCAACTGTTATTGCCTGGAATAAGGCCATGATCCAGCTCCTACTGGAGTTAATAGAAGGAAACCTTTAGAGCTGAATAAAATGGTTCTTCCATCTCACACTGCTAATAACAAAAGAAAGCTATTATTTCCCACATTGTGAAAGACTCAGCAGGGCCTCTAGCATAAAAGCTTGTAGAAATTAACAGCTAACAACAGAATGCTTGATTGGAGAAATTACCACAAAGAGAATGTGTGTTCATTGGCACTGGAAACTTTCCTGTACAATGAATGCAGCAATTAAACCACAACCATTGCTCTTTTCCCCACCTGTCATTTTGAGTCATTCTAGAACTCTCCCGTTATTTTCCTCCACTGGGGACTGGATGATTTTGGCAGGACTTCCTGTGAAATATGTGTGCCAGCCTGGTATAACTGGCTGAAGATTTGCAATATTTGCAACAGTTCACCAAGCTTTTGACTGATACCATTTGCTATGAGCAGAAGTAAGAAAGGCAGGTGAAAACATTAATTTCATAATGATCATAGAATTGTAGAATTGTAGTTGGAAGAAATCCCGAGCGTCATCTAGGCTAACTCCCTACAATGCAGGAATCAAATTATAATACAGTGTTTGGGAGCTCTGCTAGTGATTCTATGCTAATAATTAAAACTACAAAGTAATATGTCACAAATATCAGCAGGAGGGAATTCCATTCAGAGTAAGACTAGGAGAAGACTCTGCTCAATGACAACACCAACTGGGGCACAGGCATTGGCAGTGGCATAACTAGAGCTTCCCTGCTTATCTCAAGCCCCAGCGCAGAAGATAGTCAAAACTTTGAACTGGGCCCAACAGCGTATAGGCAGTCAGAGCAATACCCAAGTAACTGGTGAAATGTTGCTCCAGTTAGGGATACCATACAGAATTTTGCACCAGCTGAAGCTTCTGGGTGGTCTTCAAGGGCGGCACCACACAGAGCGCATTGCAGTAATCTAATCAGGAGGTTACCAGGATGGGAATAACAGTGACCTGGCTAGTCTGGACCAGGAATGTATGCAGCTAGCAAACCATCCAATTGCTGAGCATATGCAATGTTTATCACTGAGGCCACCTGGGACTCCAGTGTGAGTTTCGAATTAAGGATCACTCCCAGAAAATGCATCTGCTCCTTCAAGGTGAATCCAACGTCTTCTAGAACTGATTACCTACCCACTTTCTTGACATAGGAAGCACCTACCACCGACACCTCTGTCTTGTCAAGATTCAACTTGAGTTTACTGGCCTTCACCCAACCCATTACTGCCTCCAGACATCAGGTCAACACTGGCACAACTTCCCTTGACTCAGAGGGTACAGAGAGATAGAACTTGACATCATCAGCATATTGATAACTAGGGAGCAGGAGATGCAGGTGGGGAGAAGTTGGAATCTCACAACTAACTGAGAATTCTGCTTGGGGAGGAAGAAAAAACTGAGCCAACACTCAAGGACCAACCTGCCCCTTGCATTACATAGTGAAGCGGGTGTGCATGATTGCCTTCTTCCTGCCCCCACATTTGGCAGCTCTTGACTGTTAACAGCTGCCACTGCTAAGCCGGTTGCCAAGTACAGCACTTGAAGTTGACATGAGTCAGGCCTAAGCCCAGATAGGATTCCTCTTGTGCATGTTCACACGCCATGTGCTTGCTTTGCCGTTATCTCCTCTCTCTTGCCTTACTGCAAAAGCACACACTTGAACGCTTCCTGCCTCATGCAGACATTGTCACCTTCTCAGTGTGCCATGGAATCCCAGACCCTACAGTTTGCTGTCAATCATTTCTTACTGGCTGTGGCTGTTGCCCATGGTGGCTAGTGAAGCAAAGCAAATCTCAGAGCAGAGTGCAAGGCAGCGAACAACAGGTTTGGCTAGGAGTAGGGGGAAAGAGAGGGCACACTGGCACACAAGCACACTCAGACACTGTTGAACCACACACAGGCACACGCAGCGTGGGGAGAAATGGCAGTGTTAAGATCGGAATTGCGGTTTACATAGAGGGAGCTTATTGTGTATAGTGTTTACTTAACTAAAGTAAAATTGGTTTTATAAGGGTGTTTTAACTTGGAACTGTTTAAATTGTATTGTTTATGGATAAATTCTGATGTATTGTTTTTGATATGGGCCAATGGCCGTAATAAATCTAAATCTGAAATCTGGCAGTGTTAAGAGTGAATGATGAAATAGCAAGGTTTGGAGGTGGCAGAAAGAGTGGCGTTAAGCATTGTGGGGAAGATACTTTTTCTGTGCTGCACTGCAAGTATAGAAGTTATTTTTTCCTAGCATAATCTAGAACCCAAATTTTCTCTCTTCACGGTTCATCAGCTATAGACACAGAAAGCTACCTTATACCAAGTTAAACCTTTGGTCCATTTAATCCAGTTTTGTCTACAATGAGTGGCAGTGGCTCACTAAGGTTTCAGGCAGAGAGTCTATCTCAGTAATACTAGGAGATTCCAGAAACTGAATATAGAACCTTCTGCATGCAGATCATCTTTTGTTCTGGCTTTCTTCATTATCATTTCCTCAACAGATATTAGGTTAAATATATCATAAAATGGAAATCTACTGGGAAAGGTCCATTGATGGCTGTTACTCATGATGGTTAAATGGAATCTCCATATTCAGCAGCAAGATATCATTTCATATCAGTAGATGGGGACCAATTGTGGGAGATGGCTGTTGACTTTAAGCTCTGCTTGTGAGTTTCTCAATAGCAGCTGTCTGGTCACTGAGAAACAGGTTGCAGTGCCCCTTTTATGTTCTAATTGGGTAGAATCCAGTTGGTGCCCTTGTGCCCACAGAAGAGCTTTTGATTCAGCCTGTCTCTGCTAAAAGAAGAGAAGGGTAGTGATTTGTTTTTTTAAATAAAGCTATACAGAACATGAACAAATCCTTGATCATGGTCTATCCAAAGGCTGTGACACAGAAAAAATATTTCTCATGCAGACTACAGAGGAGTGACTGTAGATATAGTTAGAGTCAAACTATTGAAAACTCAGCTTAGACAGGGAAGTGACTTCTGCTTCCTGAAAATTTTACTAAACTTTTTGCCTTGGACTATAATAACCAAAAGTAGGCATCAGGAAACAAAGGCAATAAAAGCAATAAGTATCTGGGCACTCAGTCTGACTTATCTGCTATTAATAAATCTCTTCATTTGAAATATTTGCAGACTGTACTCTGTAGAAAAACAACAATGTTCCTGGAAACTCTCCTGTAGGTCTTAGAGTTAGCAGTCAATATCAAAGAGGCATGCCACTGTTTTTCCTACTGTGGGTCAGGTTTTTCTGGAAAGCGGAGCCTTCACCAATTAGGGATCACTTAATGACCTCAGTTTCCATCAAACTAAGACATGGCATTCTTCCACAAAACAACGAAGGAATGTTCCCTGTCCCTTCCTCACCCACAGCCACCCCCAATCCTGGAAAAGCATCTCTGGAGGGTTGTAGGGCCTTCATGAAGAAGATGGGATGGGGCATGAGGGATTGTAAGGGTAAGAGAGGATGGGGAAACGGTCCTCCCATGAACTTTCATAAGTTGCTGTTCCAAGATCCAAGCCTAATATATTAATTATGCCATAAGCTTTCATGGACTCAGGTCTATGCCATAACAACATACCCTCCAACATTTCTCAAATGAAAATAGGGACATCCTGTTCCATAATGATGATTTAACTATTTATACCCCACACATCTTCCTGGGTTGCCCCAGCCACTCTGGGTAGCTTCCAATATATATAAAAACATAATAGAACGTTAAACTTTTTTAAAAAAACACACACAACAAAACTTCCCTATACAGGATTGCCTCCAGACAGCTCGGGGGTCAGATAACACCATACCCTCCAACATTTCTCCAATGAAAGTAGGGACATCCTAAGGAAAAGTGGGACATTCTGGGATCAGATCAGAAACCGGGACGGCTTATCTAAATCAGAGACATCCCTGGAAAATAGGGACACTTGGAGGGTCTGTAACAAATGTCTTAGTCTTTCGAGTGCTGCAGTGTTTTTAATCTTTTATACTCCAAATTACTGATCCACCCCCACCCCCCATATATCAATAGTTAGGGAGAGGATCCTGTGTATAGCACAGTCAGTAGAGCATGAGATTCTTTATCTCAGGGCTGTGAGTTTGAGCCCCACATTGGGCAAAAGATCCCTGCATTGCAGGGGTTGACTAAATGACTCTCTACAATTCTGTGATTCTATGATTTATATCCCATCCCTTAAAATTATCATGGCCAAATTGGGGAATAGCACTAAAGCCCAATTCAGATGAAAAAAACATATCCAGCTTACCATTTTAAGCCAAATCAGAACTATGCTCATAAAGAACTAGTAATTTAAAAATAAATAAAAACAACACTAATTGTCTTGGATGGGCAGGTTGAAATTTGCAGTAACACAGTCAGATCGTTCTCAGGTGGGCTGAGTGATGGCGTGCCAGATTGCAGTTTGTGCTTGTGTCAAACAGAGCAGATGATGAGCTTCCCGTGAGGTCATTTCTATCTGGGCTTTTTCAAAAGCAGCCTGCTTCTCAGTCTCCTGCAAAGTGGTATAGAGACTGGCTCTGAGCCTCAGGCTAAACAATGCTGCACAGCTGACATATTAGCTGACATATCATACTTCTGTTAATGCAACCCAAATATGGGTTTTTAAGGTCAGTGACATCACATTGTTTACTAATAGATGACCATGATCCAATATAACTCCACTGTCTCTCTCAGCAGTTACAGAGCCAAGCCAGAATTCCCCTTTTTGTATTTAGAGGGTTTTCCCCTTTCTCATATTAATATATATATATATATGGACTTTATTTTATCCCTTTAGGGTCCACTGTTGCCGCTCAGCTTCAGTCTTGCCAATATGAACTTGTGTGGTTTCTTCTTTTCACGTATGTTTAACTTCAACACATATTTAATGAGCATATTCTTTATTGTTCCATCCAAGTCACGAACAGAGCAACCCAACACATACTAGTTAGAGGCACAGATGGAGGAGAAATCTGGTTTCATCCACATATTGATTGAATCTACCTAATTCACACTTCCCCAAACAATCTACAAACTGAAATGCTTTGATATTCACACTTCTCCAAATTATGTGATGCAGTTTAACAACCCAATCAGTGGTTATATTAGGGGGAAGACTGCATAAGAATGCAGATTTTAGTGAAATGGCATACACAAATGCATTATATTAGGTAAACTAGTAAAGGTAAAGGGACCCCTGACCATTAGGTCCAGTCGTGGCCGACTCTGGGGTTGCAGCGCTCATCTTGCTTTATTGGCCGAGGGAGCCGGCGTACAGCTGGTCATGTGGCCAGCATGACTAAGCCGCTTCTGGTGAAACAGAGCAGCGCACGGAAACGCCATTTATCTTTCAGGCTGAGGGAGCCAGCATTTGTCCACAGACAGCTTTCCGGGTCATGTGGCCAGCATGACTAAACTGCTTCTGGCGCAACAGGACACCTGGACAGAAACCAGAGCGCATGGAAGTGCCATTTACCTTCCTGCCACAGCGATACCTATTTATCTACTTGCACTGGTATGCTTTCGAAGTGCTAGGCTGGCAAGAGCTGGGACCGAACAACGGGAGCTCATCCCGTTGTGGGGGTTCGAACCGCTGACCTTCTGATCAGCAAGCCCAAGAGGCTCAGTAGTTTAGACCACAGTGCCACCCGCATCCCATGGCACAGCAGATGCAGCTGAGTAAAAGTAGTCATCAACTCATAGAAATGTTGGGGGTTCTTGCGACAGCTGCTACCTGAATACGTCAGAGTAAAGGCAGATCTAGCAGCAGCACTAAACTATATGCCTGGCCCTTCTTGCTAATATAGGGTTGCAGCCAAATTCCCATGTAGATACAGTGGTACCTAAGGTTAAGTACTTAATTCGTTCCAGAGGTCTGTTCTTAACCTGAAGCACCACTTTAGCTAATGGGACCTCCCGCTGCTGCTGCGCCGCCGGAGCACAATTTCTATTCTCATCCTGAAGCAAAGTTCTTAACCCGAGGTCTGTAACCTGAAGCAAATGTAACCTGAAGCGCATGTAACCCGAGGTACCACTGTATTCTAACCTTCAACATAAGAATCAAGAGATTTAAAGCTGAAAAGATGTAAATATTTTGTAATGCAGCAATGGTGTTTGCAAAATGAGATAACTCTCTCTTAAAAATGTGAAAACAGGATAAAATATTTGCAGTAACTACGTTTCTGGATTGATGCCATTTCTATAGTTCAAGCTCTGCTTGGCCTCTTGCCACCTCAACAAATGCTAGAGAACTCCCTTTCGCCAGCAGGGAATCAATGGATTTCTGCCACTTCTCCTATATGGGTTTGGGTGCTTACACTGTGAGCTGGCCCAGCATTTAAACTCCAAAGCATGCTGAGCCTTCAGATTTGGGTCTTGGCAGTAGCAATAACAAGAGTTATTGTCAATTGTTTCTCAAACATGTAGATTTGTTTCTGAAATTTGATCTGAATTTCCCAAGACATTTCCTATGTTTACAAGTCATCCTCAGTTTTCCGTCAAACTCATATAGTTCCAAAGCATGCTTCACTTTTAATTTAACTTTGGAGCTCAAGCGATATGCACATACTCTTGCCATTACCATCACAACACACTGGGGACCAAAATAAATGTGGAAAGGGATATTGGCTCTGAAACCAAGGAGGAATATCACATGGCTGGGATAAACGAAAGCTACAAGTTTATTGAATGCAAAGATTTTGCAACTGCCGGTTGCTTCTCCCTCCTTCCCCTCACCTTTCTATAGGCAGCTATGTCCTCCTGGTTAAGGACAGAAATAGCAGCTATCCTTACCAGCTGAGCTACTTGGGTTGCTCCACACTTGCTCAGAGTCTTGAGTCCTGCTCTTCATTCCTTCCAGTGCTCTAGTAAGCCCTTCTCTTCCAACCAGCGGTGCCAACTATAGGGGACGGAAGGGGCTTTGGCCTCCTCAATTTTTCTGGGCAGGGGGCCAAGCCCCCCTAATATTGAGGGGGTCACCCCCACCCCCAAGCAAGCTCTGGCACAGCAGGCAGGGGCAGGACACATGGAGGGTGATTTTCACCCTCTGTGCTCCCTGTCCACGGCCAACGGGAGAGCACTGGCCTGTTGGGTGGGGGTGGGATGGGTCACAGGGCACCCTCAATGTGGGAGGCAAGTCAGCACCCCTGCTTCCAGCATAGTTTAAGGACTGCATGGGATTGAACATTGTATGAATAGTCTTAGGAGATGGCCATGGTCAGTTTATGAGCACACTCAGTTTCTGAAAACCAGTGTGGCATAGGAGTTTGCAGCATGTGAAAAATGGAAATGGAAGGAGTCAAGTAGCATTCATGGCTAAGATTAGGTGTTACAAATATTATTTATTTATTTAATTTGTATACCGCTCTTTGTCCACAGATCTCAGGGGGGTTCACAGCATAAAAATACAGTATAAAAACAGAAACACATGTGTCCCTATTTTCCTTTGTGAAATGTTTTGGAGTCTGCAGTTTATATTTTATACACACATGCGCGCGCACACATACACACACATTTATCTCCAAATGCACGAACAAGGGAGGAGGAAAGAGCTTCTATAATAATATAATTTTAAAGTTGGACCTTGGAGGTCATTTGGTCCAACTCCTTGATGAATTATGGCACTCTTGTTTTGCCTACTTTACAGGAAGGTGTCCTCTTTTGTAAAAGACTGTCCAAAGACAGTGTTCTGTTTGAAAGTGTTTCATTCCAAGTCTAATTTAAGATAAAGAACTGCAAGAGAGCAGGGACCTTGAAGTTGTCCATCAGTGGTTAGCATCTGGGCCACAGACTGAGCAGGCGCAGAAGTCAGTTGGTCACATTCTTTACCATGATGGTGATATGCACTGTATTTCTATTTAAATTATATCAAGCCCTCTAAGAATCCCTTGCATGTGAGCACTGATGCTTGTACTCTCTGTGTTAAAGAAACATGCTCACATAGGTCTTACAGTGAGAATGTTGTGGATTTCCCATCACTTGCAATGTGTCTCAAGGCTCCTCAGTGTTCTGAAGTTAATTAATTAAAAAATTACATCTTCTCCATTTTATTCCAGCTGGCAGCATCAAGAAATAAACCATGTTCCTCAGAGTGCAACTGGAGCAGCTGTCAGCTGATCTCAAATATGTGAATAAGGCAAAGAGCATGCAAGCACTGTATACTTATTATAATGGGCTGGCAACTTTTCAAAAAATAAATAAATGAATCCACTGTTCTTTTCTTTAAAAACAGTACTAGGTTCCTGATGTATCTTTCTGTCACCACCATCACTTCAAACCTAGGTATGTGACTGAGGAGGTTTTGCCTTATTTAGGGACTCACCTATGTTTAAAAGTTGACGGGGAGATTATTCCTTATTCCTATTCCTGAACTTCTTGCCATCTTTTGATGCTCTGCTGGAGGATTAACTCTTCACACTGGTCTATGAGATATTGTTTAATCATCTGGAAAATCTAGTTGATTAAAAGTGCCTGTTCTAGACTATACCCACTCAACATGAAATAATTTAAGTTCCCTCTGTTTCGTAAGCCCATGAAATTATGGCACAGGGGAATTCTTTAACTGGTATTGGAACTGCCCCTGACTCTGGACAAATTCCCTGTGCTGATTATGATGGATCCCATGAAACCCCTGTCACCATTCCAGCTGTTTTTGTCCTGTCAGCACTTATGTTTTTGGTGGAAGGTCTGCATTGAAAGTAGCATCATTCCTTCAATCTTCCCCCATCATTCCTTCAATCTTTGCACATCAGACCATCTGCAGGCAACATTGTGGAGTGTAGGGTAGACAGGGGTAACTTCTGATAGACTCTAGAGGTTCAAATCCCTAGTCATCACATTCTAGTTGTTACAGTCTTCATAACATTTCCCAGAAGCTGCCTGTCTCCAGCTATATGAGGTCAGACTAAGAGTCTGTATCTAGTCATCATAATGAATTTAAGCCATCCATGTATTTTCGCGGGGATTCATTATGCTGAAGAATACAAATGTCTCCATCTTGTCTCTATACTTAATGGTTTTATTTAGTCTTTCCTGGTTTAACTATTGATGCCATTAATATCAATGGAACTTTAAAATGTTAGCTGGGTTTAGCCCACTAGCAATTACTTTTAGAAGATGAAAAGCATCTTAATGTAAGAAAAGCTTTGAGATGCCAGGCTGTCCTATGATAACTGAAATAACAGCAATCTCATTCAAGAACAGCAGTTCCACTGATCTCATCTGGTTCTTTTAGCTATTTATTTGTACCAATATATTAATTTCAAAGTGAAACCACATCAACTCAATGAGGATGATTGCTTGCCTGTTCCATCTTGAATTCTGAAACACCATTTGTTTTACTTCAAATCATACAAAATATGTTTCTCCTCAGGTTTTACATTAGTTTTGTTATCTTTGATTCTACTCTGAGAAGAGAAGATTATCTCATTAAAATGTTCTGGAGATGGTCAGCAGGCACAGTTTTCCTTCCATGAATAACAAGTGTTGGCTAACAGCTCCCCTCAGAGGTAGTATAGAAAGTATGCACTCATCTAAACCTGTGTTCCCCTGTGTATTTTGTATTAAGGAAATATTGTGTCTTGTCTGGAACTGGAAAAAAATCCCTCTTGCAAATCAATAAGGAAAATACCCCTTATTCTCTTATATATCTGTGGCCAAGCATAAAACCAATTCTGATTGATTGTGGAAACTTTTAGAGGAGTTTGGGAAAGAAAAGTCAAAATTGGGGGTTTTCCTGTTGTGCAGTACAAATTTCATTTCATTAGTGATGGTGACTGGAAGCAGAGCTATTTCAAAGCATTGGGAGGGAGGGACCTTTTCTAAAAGAGGAAGCAGATAAAATATATAGGAATATTTCTAAATGAATAGCTTTCACTGTTTGGGCATGTTTACTGAAAGCCACTGGAGGAATACTTTTAGACAGCGTGGTAATTAAAACAAACAGACTATATAAAAAAGGGGGAAACTTAAAACCAAAGTCGTTAATTCAATAAAATGTTCACTAATCCAACAGGCTCAATAAGAATGTCAATGCTTGTCTAACTAGGTACTTATACCGGCAAAAATTGTAGCTTGGAGGATTCCCTATATGCTGGGTCCCTGTATGCAGTAATCAGAACACAGTGTGCAGTTTGCAGATGCAAATTGGGAAACTGTATGTGCAGCACTTGCTGCCTAGTAGTATACTTCACCATCCCTCAACTCTGCACCCCTCAATTCTGCACAGCTAAGAATGCAAATAGACTTTCCTATAGTCCTATAGTCCATGTTATAGAGATGGGAAAGAACATCCATGTTATACAGATGGAAAAGTAGGATGTTGTTGCACATGGTTATTACTGATGCATAACTTTTTGCATCTGATTTTTGCTTTTGGAGGGGACGCCATTCTGTTCAGGAACACATCTGTGAGTATTTCATCTTACGACTTTTTGTTGTATAGCTCAGCTGGCTTAGGAATGCTCTTCTCCTGGTCCTGTACTTGACAGTTTTATGAGCTGATCAAAAACATTTTCAGTCCATCTTCTATCAATTAGAGTTTTCCTTCTTAATTATTCTAAGATGAAATGACTGCAGAGGAATGTATTGTTTTGACCAGCTGTTACTCTAAGTTATCCAAATGTATAATTCCTTGGGCAACAGCATGGGAAGAAGAAGACATTCGTGTCATGGTTCGAAGAGGTATTTTTTTTCTTTGTAAACACTTGACTTTGCAATTGAATTCACTAAATACCTACCATCAAGTTATATATACAGACTGATCTAAACCTCTTAGTAGGTTACACCAAAAAAACAAAACACATCATTAGAACCATTCATTTCAATGAATTTCAGAGTTCCTTGCACTTCAACTAAGAGAACCAATTACTGAAATTTCATATGATATTGGGCATTGCCCTGTAGAATCCCCACACCTGGGGCCCATTTGCAAGTGATGCCTTAAATCCACAGTCTACATGGAAATCTTGCTGTACTGTGTACTTCCCCTGTACTGTGTGCTAAGCAGGGTCATGCTGGGCTTCATAAATATGATGTAGTGCACACACAGAATGGAATACAGGAGGCCAGGGGGCTCCACCAAATTTGGACCTTGTACAGGGCGCTACTGAAATTTGAAAAACGAATGTCCATCCCTGATTAGGGGGCAGTGGAGACAAGTACTTTAGTTCTCCCCCCTCCATCATTCCTGCCATCTTTTTGCATCCATGGAGGCTTCCCACATGTTTTAGCACTCTGGAAAAGCAGGGTTCTAAAATGCAAAGTGAACCTACAGAGATAGATAAAGCTTGCCACTGCCGAAATTCACCTTCCAAGATCTGAAAGGCATTGTGCATGTTTGTGCTGCCCCTTTGTGATTTTAACAAGTACACTTAATGCCTGAAGAAGGCTATAGTTTCTGGCCTCCAGCTGAATTGGGGTAAATCTAAAAACAAAAAGCAAAACAAAAATAAAATAAAAACCACTATCGTGTAAGGCCCGCAAAAGGAGCTCCAAATCACTACATTCATTGGTACAGTGGTACCTCGGGTTAAGAACTTAATTAGTTCTGGAGGTCTGTTCCTAACCTGAAACCGTTCTTAACCTGAGGTACCACTTTAGCTAATGGGGACTCCCGCTGCTGCCGCACAATTTCTGTTCTCATCCTGAAGCAAAGTTCTTAACCCGAGGTACTATTTCTGGGTAAGCAGAGTCTGTAACCTGAAGCATCTGTAACCCGAGGTACCACTGTACTTTCATTTACTTCCTATTTAATGCTACCATCACTGGGGAAAGCAGCCATGCTGGAAATGCCCCTACAAAAAGCACACATCATTTTAGGTCACCTTTCCTCCTGCAAATTCTGTATTTGGCCTCACATCCAGCACATTGGTCTCCAATGATTCACATCAGCGATGAGCCCATCATTTGGAAATAAGTCTAGAATACCAGTGGAATATTGTATATGACAGCGTCTCTGATTCAGACGCATACGGAGTAAACATATCTCACAGTGTATGTGTGTGGGTGGGGGGTGCAATATATCTTGCTTTATATAGTTTGTTGATGATATATTATAATTAATGTCCTTACATTGGATAAGAATAAAAGCTTGCAATAATTTATGTGTTGCTTGGAAGCTATGGTCCCTTAATTTATGTGTAAGTTATCCAAGTGACTCCATTTGTTCATGTCTTTCTGTAAAATAGAAATTGGCTTTGAGAAGATAGCTGGAGAAACTCCAAATGTCATCCTCTTGAGTGATTTATGTAGTGCTAAATAATATTCAGCAGCAGGTAACAGATACCAAAGAATGCTTCCCAGGGAGCATGCCAAAGAAAGCAATATTAAGTTAAATGTTCACAATGCAATTCCTTTTACTTAAACAAAGTAAAGTCAGGATAGAATTAGTTTTCTCCACCACCACCCCATTAGCATCACTGGGAGAAGGTGCACACACAATAACCACCCCATAGAGTCCACTTTACATGCAGTCTTCCAAACTATTCATGAGCAAGTATCTTGCCAGGTGGTCTGGGTTACTTTCTCCAGATCACTGCAAAGATCTCATGTAAAAGATAGTATTAAATCTCAACGTTCAACAGAACGGTTCAACAGAGGCAGGAAAATGTAAAGTACCAGTGTGATAGAGTAGACAGAAAGCCATTCTCCAAAGATTATCCTCTTCCCATGAAAGAAGGGGGAATATGCAAGCTCCCAATCCTACTATGGATGGAGAAATTATGAAGGTCCCATGTACAGAGGCCCGTATGGACATTCCTCCCTCCTTTTTGTGGGGGAAGAATCATTTGAATTACAGTGGTACCTTGGGTTACAGACGCTTTGGGTTACGCCTTTTCAGGTTATAGACGCGCCGAAACCCAGAAGTACCAGAACAGGTTACTTCTGGGTTTCAGTGCTTGCGCATGCACAGAAGCACTGAATCGCACTTTGCGCATGTGCAGAAGCACGAGTTGCGTCACGTGCATGTGCAGACTGTGGGTTGCAACAGAACTGCTGGTTGTGAACACTGCAGGTTGCGAACGTGCCTCCCGCACGGATCACATTCGCAACCCCGAGGTTCCACTGCACCCTCAGCACATACAAGTTCATGTGGTATACCCTTGTCACACATGACATCTACTCTACCACAAGAAATTCATTCAGCCACATAAACAGAAGTCCCAGCATGCGAGTGTTTGACCAGGATGACTCAAGTTCAAATCTAATCTT